ATTAGCTGGGCGTGGTGGCACATGCCTGTAGTCCCAGCTATTCAGGAGGCTGAGGTGGGAGGATCGCTTGAGACCAGGAAGTTGAGGCTACAGTGAGCCATGTTCCTGCCAATGCACTCCAGCCTGGGAGACAGAATGAGACCTAGTCAGAAAAACAAAACAAAACACCACCTACTGCATTCTGAATGCCTGGTCAAGGACAGAAGGCATTGGTTAACCAGTGGTAGGAATCCCAGTGGTAGAATTTCAGGCACAAAAAATTAAAGGGAGGCTTGCTTAGGTGTCAATATGGCCCATACTCATAAAATCATGTAGCAGTAAGGCCAATTATAATTAAGATACTTTTTAAAAGGTAAAAAAACAGGCTGGGCATGGTGGCTTATGCCTGTAATCCCAGCACTTTGGGAGGCTGAGGTGGGCAGAACACCTGAGGTCAGGCATTTGAGACCAGCCTGGTTAACATGTCAAAACCCTGTCTCTACTAAAAATACAAAAAAAAATTAGCCCGGTGTGGTGGTGCACGCCTGTAATTCCAGCGACGCAGGAGGCTGAGGCAGGAGAATCAACAGAACTTGGGAGGCAGAGGTTGCAGTGAGCTGAGATTGTGCCACTGCACTCCAGCCTGGAGGACAGAGCAGGACATTTTTTTTTTTACTCTTTAAAAAAAAAAAAAAAGAGGGGAAAGCAATTCCTATGTAAAGATTTTACTGTGAAAAGGAATTCTATTCTCCAAACTAAACAGGCTACCATTACACATTAATTGTTCGTTTGGATTTTTGTTTTCTGATTTTTGTTAAGAGATGGGGTCTCAATAAATTGCCTAGGCTGGTCTTGAAATACTGAGCTTGTGATCCTCCCTCATCGGCCTCCCCAGCAGTGAGGACTACATGCACACGCCACCCCAAACACATTAATCCTTCAACAAACTTTTACGTTACCAGTGTTAGGTCTTGGGGATACTAAGTCCAAGCCCTCAAAGAGACTATACTCTAATTGAGGTGACAGACAGACATACAAACCTGTTAAGTACACACTGTTATGAAAAGCCCGGGATGCTCATTTATTTATTTATGTATTTTTAAACAATTTTTTGAGACAAGGTCTCACTCTGTCACCCAGGTTTGAGTGCAGTGGCACGAATATAGCTCACTACAGCCTCGACCTCTTGGGCTCAATCTATCCTTCTGTCTCAGTCTCCTGCATAGCTGGGACCACAGGTGTGCACCACTGCACCCAGCTAATTTTTAAATTTTCTGTAGAGATAGGTCTCACTTTGTTGCCTAGGCTGGTCTTAAACTGCTGGGCTCAAGCGATCCTCCCACCTTGGCCTCCTGAAGTGTTGGGATTATAGGCATGAGCCACCGTCCCAGCTCCAGGATGCTCATTTAGTAGCAAAGAGCAGTAATGCCTTTCCGGCCTCCATACCTTCCTTCCTGCAGTCCTGTCTCCTATATTAGGAGAATCTCCACCCCATCTTTGATTTCTGCATATTCAAATTCCAATTACTCTTCAAGGCCCCAAACTAATGCAAACTCTTTCTTCCAGCAGGTCATGGCTCCCCTATCTCAGAGGAGCAGGAATGCCAGCCTCCTCTGCACCAGGCACTGGAATCTATAATCCCAAAATCCCATTCCATCCTGACAACCATCCAGCAAGGGACATTTTACTGCCATCAATTATAAGATGACCCCTACTCCTTGTTTTTTACATTTAATAGTTGTTGACATCTGAATGGCGTTCTTATCATTAAAATTAGTGGCACTGTTTCTTTCTTAGTGGTGAATTAAATAAGGGCACATCTCATAATCAATATTACCTTAGATTAGCTGGAATATGATATATAGTATTCCCATTTAGCAAATGAAAGTAACATTTCCAGCCAGGTGCAGTGGCTCAAGCCTGTAATCCCAGCACTTTGGGAGGCCGAGGCGGGTGGATCACTAGGTCGAGAGATTGAGACCATCCTGGTCAACATAGTGAAACCCCGTCTCTACTAAAAATACAAAAAATTAGCTGGGCATGGTGGTACGTGCCTGTAATCCCAGCTACTCAGGAGACTGAGGCAGGAGAATTGCTTGAACCCAGGAGGTGGAGGTTGCGGTGAGCCGAGATCATGCCATTGCACTCCAGCCTGGGTAACAAGAGTGAAACTCCGTCTCAAAAAAAAAAAAAAAGAAGTAACTTTTCCTAAGTCACATATGGTCTCCTAGCAAGTGACAAGGCCAAAGCCCTGTTCTAAAGACAGGTCTACTTGACTCTAAAGACTGTGGCTCTTCCCTGCTCCACTGCCCACCTCTGACCAGCACCAGCTCTAACTGACCCTTTTCTAGTGACACTCAGCACTTACTATTTCATTTTACAGTTAGTTGTGTTTCTGATCTCTCTTCTTAATCCTGCCCACTTAGACTTTGGACTTCTTAAAACATAATGGATTTTGCTAATCTTAGGATAAAATAACATATGTACATCAGGACTGGTGCAGTGGCTCACACCTGTAATCCCAACACTTTGGGAGATCGAGGCAGGAGGATCACTTCAGTCCAGGAGTTAGAGACCAGCCTAGGCAATATAGTGAGTCCTCATCTCTACTTTTTTAAATAGAAAAGCAAAACAAGGCCGGGCGCGGTGGCTCCAGCCTGTAATCCCAGCACTTTGGGAGGCCGAGGCGGGTGGATCACAAGGTCAAGAAATCGAGACCATCCTGGTCAACATGGTGAAACCCCGTCTCTACTAAAAATACAAAAAATTAACTGGGCATGGTGGTGCGTGCCTGTAATCCCAGCTACTCAGGAGGCTGAGGCAGGAGAATTGCCTGAACCCGGGAGGCAGAGGTTGCGGTGAGCCAAGATCGCGCCATAGCACTCCAGCCTGGGTAACAAGAGCGAAACTCCGTCTCAAAAAAAAAAAAAAAAAAAAGCAAAACAAAAAAAATGTGTAAATCACACAATGAAGTGCCTAGGACAGAAGCACTTAATATAGCTGTGTCTGCTAGACAGAAGAAGTGTTGCCTATAAAGAAAGGTGTGCATCTATATACATGCAATGTCCCTGTGAATCTCCCTCTTTGGTTCACTACCTTATTTGCAGACAGGGGTGATGCCAGGCCTGCCTCCCAGGGTTGTGGTATGGTTTCACATCAATTAAGAGAAAATGGACAATTATTACAGTTCCTTTTTTTTTTTGAGATGGGAGTCTCACTCTATTGCCCAGGCTGGAGTGCAATGGTGTGATCTCGGCTCACTGCAACCTCCACTTCCTGGATTCAAGTGACTCTCCTGCCTCAACCTCCCAAGCAGCTGGGATTACAGACGCATGTCACCATGCCCAGCTATTTTTTGTATTTTTAGCAGAGACAGAATTTCACCATGTTGGTCAGGCTGGTCTTGAACTCCTGACCTCGTGATCCACCCACCTCGGCCTCCCAAAGTGTTGGGATTACAAGTGTGAGCCACCACACCCGGCCTATTACAGTTCCTGAAAGGATTCCCCTATCTCTATTCTTGCTCCCCACAGTCCAATTTCCACATAACAGCCAAAGTGATCTTTTAATTGCAAATCAGATCATAATATTTCCTGGCTTCAAACTCTACAGTGTCTTTATATGGCACCTAAAAATAAGGTCTCTCAGGGCCAATAAGGCCCTGTATGACGGAAACTGACTGATTCTCTGATCTTATCCCTCTAGCCTCCTTTTTCTTTAAGACATCAGGCTCTATTTGTGGTAGTTTAATGCACGAATGAGTCTCCCCATCCTCCTCTATCCACAAGCTCTTCATTTCTCTCTTCTCAGTGTAATTTGGTAGCTCAATTTGCCACAAGATCTTTGCAGTTAAAGTGCACTTCCCCCACAACTTCACAGAATCATTCAAGTCGGTTTCAATATCCTGCTCTTTTCCTAGAGCACTATCTAAAACAGTTCCTCCTTGATCCTACACATAATGTACTATTGTAACTAGGACCATACTATTACATCACCTTCATAGTTCGTCATCCTTTGAAAAATATATTTTTTAATTTTTTTTTTTTTTTTTTTTTTTTTTTTGAGACATAGTCTCGCTCTATCGTCAGGCCGGAGTGCAGTGGCGCGATCCCGGCTCACTGCAACTTCCGTTTTCCGGTTTCAAGCAATTCTCCTGCCTCAGCCTCCCGAGAAGCTGGGATTACAGGCACGTGCCACCATGCCCAGCTAATTTTTTGTACTTTTAGTAGAGACGGGGTTTCACCACGTTGGCCAGGATGGTCTCGATCTCTTGACCTCGTGATCCGCCCCCCTTGGCCTCCCAAAGTGCTGGGATTACAGGCGTGAGCCACCGCGCCCGGCCTTTTTAAATTTTTTTATTGATGAGGTCGTGCCCTGTCGCCCAGACTGGGTACCGTGGTGCGATCATAGCTCACTGAAGCCTTGAAATCCCGGGCTCAAGTGATTCTACCGCCTCAGCCTCCCGAGTAGCTGGGACCAGAGGCATGCGCCACCATACCCGGCTAATTATTATTATTATTATTAATTTTTTTTTTTAAGAGATGGCGTCTGGCCGTGTTGCCCAGGCTGGTCTTGAACTCTCTGGTTAAGTGATTCTCCTGCCTCGGCCTCCCAAAGTGTTGGGATTACAGACCTAACCCACCGCGCCCGGCTGAAATTATTTTCGTCTGTCTCACCTACTAGACTGTAACCTCCACGAGGGCCCCTGTCTGTCACGATCTCTGCTCCAATGCAAAAAATAACGCCTACACACAGGAGGCGATCCAAAAATATTTGCTGAGTGGATGAATGCCTTGGCTACTCCTCTAAACACCAAACGGGTTCCACCCAGCCCAAAAGACACACTCCATTTGGCGGGTGGTAGCGGAACAGAGCCCGCCGAGCCCCGGAGTCGGAGTTCTGCCCTGCAGGGTGCTCACCATCTGACCCCATAGCTGCCCCAGCACCTCAGCGCAGAGCAAGCGGTGATCGATCAGGCGAGTGTCTCAGATCCTGCGCAGCCCAACGTCTGGCGCCCCGGCGTGACTCGCCGGGTATTTTAACCCGGCCCAGCCCGCTAAGCACCGGAAGTGGAATACAGAGGTGCGCCGGAAGTAAGGTACAGAAGTGCGCCGGAAGTGGGGTGCGGAGGTGTGCCGCGCGCTGTCAGACTGGCTCGCAGGCGGCGCGGCCGGCGGACGCGTTCGAGACTGCGCGGGCGTCTCGTGTCCCCTGGGGCTCCGCAGCAGAACAACACCATGGACAAAATGGGTAAATCAGGACAGGACAGCGCTGCAGAGCCCTTCAGGGGTCCCCCCAACCTCTCACACCCAGGCTGAGCTCCCGGAGAGATTTCTTTCGAATTTCAGGCTGCTCCTCTGGATGTGTTTCCTCGAGGAATCCCCCGCTGCTCTTGTTTTCAAGGATGCGCCCTGACAGTATCTGCAGACACCCCTCCCATACATACGCTCCTTCCCAGTGGCCGTCTCCAGAAGGCCCTTCACAGTTTTGAAGTAGGAGTAAGACTCCCTGCCCTGTTGGATCTGTTACTAAAATTAGAATGAATAAGGCATATTTGATGTGTTTATCTAGTATGGCTATTCAGGTGTTTTATTAAGTGAACAACAAGGGCAAACGAATACAGTTTTCCTGTAAAGAAATAAAGGGGAGTGGGTGGAATTCTATATGTAGTATTTGTACATGTATGTGTCTGTGAGTAGACTTGTATTAGCGTAGACTGGAGGGCCGCAGGAGAAATTGGTAAGGGGGTTGACTCTGGGATCCTCTCAGATCTTAGGGCCAAGGATGGAAGAGAGGGTGACTTTTCATCATCGTTTACTCGAGCTTAATTTTTAGACCTTGCACACCAGTAGCTTTTTTAAAATAAGAAGGAGATCTTGCAAACAGTAAGGTGGTGTTTTCTCTATTCCCATCAATTTTCATTGTTCTCTGAAACCAAATACCCTAAAAAGAAAAGTTTTTTTTTTTTTTTTTTTTTTTTTTTGAGACGGAGTTTCGCTCTTGTTACCCAGGCTGGAGTGCAATGGCGCGATCTCGGCTCACCGCAACCTCCGCCTCCTGGGTTCAGGCAATTCTCCTGCCTCAGCCTCCTGAGTAGCTGGGATTACAGGCACGTGCCACCATGCCCAGCCGATTTTTTGTATTTTAGTAGAGACGGGGTTTCACCATGTTGACCAGGATGGTCTCGATCTCTTGACCTCGTGATCCACCCGCCTCGGCCTCCCAAAGTGCTGGGATTACAGGCTTGAGCCACTGTGCTCGGCGAAAAGTATTTTTTAAATTATTTTGCTTCTTAAAGCCAACAGTCATTAACAAGCTCTCTTGCCTTACATGTTGCTAAATGAATTAGATGAATCACTTTTTTCACTTTTTCCAGAGTTAATTGAATACTTTAAGTCTCAGATGAAAGAAGATCCTGACATGGCCTCAGCAGTGGCTGCCATCCGGACGTTGCTGGAGTTTTTGAAGAGAGATAAAGGTACAGAAGTTCATCTATGAACACTTTGGGACTTAGGAAAGGCTTTTTTTTTTTTTTTTTTTTTTTAAGAGACAGAGTCTCACTCTGTCACCCAGGCTGGGGTGCAGTGGCATAATCTCAGCTCACTGCAACCTTTGCCTCCTGTGTTCAAGCGATTCTCCTGCCTCAGCCTTGAGTAGCTGGGATTACAGGTGCATGCTGCCACACCATGCTAAATTTTTTGTGTTTTAATAGAGATAAGGTTTCACCATGTTGCCCAGGCTGGGCTTGAATTCTTGAGCTCAGGCAATCCACCTGCCTCAGCCTCCCAAAGTGCTAGGATTACAGGCTTGAGCCAATACACCCAGCCTTTTTATTTTTGAGACTGAGTTTTGCCCTTGTCTCCCACGCTGGAGTGCAATGGTGCCATCTCAGCTCACTGCAACCTCTGCCTCTTGAGTTCAAGTGATTCTCCTGCCTCAGCCTTTTGAGTAGCTGTGATTATAGGCATGCACCACCACACCTGGCTAATTTTTATATTTTTAGTAGAGATGGGGTTTCACCATGTTGGCCACACTGGTCTTAAACTCCTGACCTCAGGTGATCCGCCCGCCTTGGCCTCCCAAAGTGCTCGGATTACAGGCGTGAGTGTGCCACTGTGCCTGGCCAGGAAAGTCTTCTAATGACTCTTAGAAATGAAGAAAGTGAGAGATGCATGTTTGTCTGCGTAAAGTAATACAGTTCCAAGCACAGCTTCTGCCTTCATTTCAGACCTTTCAATTGGAGAGAGCCCTTACGTTACCAAAAGGATCCCTTTCATAAGTGAAATATACTTTGAATCAAGGGTGATTATTTTATATCTTGTTAACCATGATGCTTAAATTACAGCAGCAGTTCAGCTTTGTAAGTGTTTATTAGACTTCCACCTTGTGCCAGATTCTGTACAGATGCTACAGGGAATGTTCCAGAATAAATTCTGGTATTAGTATTATTTATTGTGATGTCTTAATTCAGCATCCTAAATGTAAGCATCTGGGTATAGCATGAAATCTTGTATAAGCAAAATAACAATAAGGCCTTTAATCTGAAAGGCTGGCCTAGAGATACCCATCTCTAAGGCAACCTCCAGTGTCTTCCCATTGCTCTTAAAATGACATCCAGACAACCTTAGCCTCACCAATACCACCTTGCAGACCTCATGTGCCACTGCTACTTACTGTCTTTCCGTGCCGTACCTCACTAAACCGTGCTTCAGCCCTCCCTGGCCTCTTGTTTCTTATACCAAGTTTGTTCTTATCTAAGGTCTTTGCATTGGTACTGTGTATGCCTGGAACCTTTCCCACTGGAAATGTGGCTGGATGCTTTCTTACTCAAGTCTCAGTTTTAATGGACCCCATTCCAACAGGCCATTCCTGTTAACTAGACTTGCTCATCATTCTGCTTTTTTCTTTCCTTGTTACAAATATCTGTAATTCACTTGTTTCTTTGCTTTTATTGTTTGTTTTTGTTTTTTGAGACCAGGTCTCACTCTGTTGCCCAGGCTGGAGTGAAGTGGCACCATCATAGATCACTGCAGCTTCAGACTCCTAGGCTCAAGCAATCCTCCTGCCTCAGCCTGCCACAGCCCCCCATACCTGGCCGATTTATACAATTTTTGTAGAGACAAGCTCTTACTATGTTGCCGAGGCTGGTCTTGAACACTTGGCCTCAAGCAATCCTCCTGCTTCAGCCTCCTAAAGGCTGAGGATTACAGGTGTGAGCCACTGCACCTGGCTTGATTTCTATGTGTGCATGTTTACTGTCCGCTTCTTCTATTAGAATAAAAACTCCATCAGAGCAGAACCCTGCCTGTCTTGCTCACTGATGGATCCTTAGCATCTAGAATAGTGCCTGGTATATAGTACGTAACCAGTAAATATTAACTGAATGAATGAATGAGTTGCAGACCCAGGCTGGGCTGTGGTCCTAACATGAACATCACATTCCTTGTTGAATCATTCCAGGGGAGACAATCCAGGGCCTGAGGGCGAATCTTACCAGTGCCATAGAAACCCTGTGTGGTGTGGACTCCTCCGTGGCAGTGTCCTCTGGCGGGGAGCTCTTCCTTCGCTTCATCAGCCTTACCTCCCTGGAATACTCCGTAAGCCCCTGTTCTCCCTGGGGTTACCTTTCCACTTCTCCGTTTAGTGACAGACACTCTCAGCATTACCTGGATCTTTCCTGTCCCCTCAGTGTGCTCTTTTCTTCCTAGGATTACTCCAAATGTAAAAAGATCATGATCGAACGGGGAGAACTTTTTCTCAGGAGAATATCACTGTCAAGAAACAAAATTGCAGATCTGTGCCACACTTTCATCAAAGACGGGGCGGTGAGTGGATAACCATCGTGCGTGGTAATGAGGAGCAAGGGCTTTGAGTTACACTGCCTGGGGTGAAATCCTGGCTCTGCCACTCACTTGCTGTGTAGACTTGGATAAGTCACTTAACCTCTCTGCACAGTTTTCTTCTGTGAAATAAGGGTGACAGTAGTACCTACCTCCCAGGGTTGTTGTGAGGATTAAATGAGGCAGGACGTGTAAGGGGCAGGGGGTGTGAGGGCTTGGTATTGTGCCTGGCACATAGTAAGGGCTGCGTGAATGTAGATCTTGTTATTAGAGATGGCTGTCATTGTAAACAGGCAGAGAGGGACAGTGGGACAGCATGGGTGATTCTAGATTTAATACAGTATTTTACTAAAGAAATACTTTCATGATTGTGTAGTAAATCTGAATTAAATCAACACAGAACAGCTCTTGTCACTGGTCAACACTGAGTACTTTCTTAGTGAAGGTTAGCAATAGGGGGAGATTGAGGGAGATTTTCTTTTTACCTTCATTTTAGATGCTATTGCAGAGATGCGAAGCTGCCAGGCGTTTGTAAGTGAGGACAGACAGGACGTGCGAGCTGAGCCGGTCTCCCAGCACAGGGTGATCAGACTTTCATGTGCGCCTCCCGCCAGCACACTTCCTTTTGCTACCTAGGCCTCCCTGACCGTAAAATCATTTACTTGCATTTTGACTCTTAAATTTTGTCCTTCATTTTATTGGCCCCTTCCCATCCTTTGAAGTATGGTATTAAAGGCATAATAGATGTGAGTGAAACGTGTACAAAAGCCAGTTGCAAACAAAGCCTTTTTTGGGCAAGTGGAGGCAAGGTCATGATTGCTGCTTGCTGAGGCCTTCTCCTTCCACAGACCTGCTGTGGCGTCAGAACTGTGTGGGTTTTCGTTTGCTCTAGTGTAGTGTGTGTGGTATGTGTGTACTTCACCTATAGTCACCTACTCGGGACTGATTTAGACAATTTACAGCAGAGCTGCTCAGATTTGAACATGCAGAGGAGTCGGCTGGGGTCTTATTAAATGCAGATTTGGATTCACTGTTATCTGGGCTAGGGCCTAAGAACCTTTCTTTTTCTTTTTCTTTTTTTTTTTTTGAGACGGAGTTTCGCTCTTGTTACCCAGGCTGGAGTGCAATGGCGCGATCTCGGCTCACCGCAACCTCCGCCTCCTGGGTTCGGGCAATTCTCCTGCCTCAGCCTCCTGAGTAGCTGGGATTACAGGCACGTGCCACCATGCCCAGCTAATTTTTTTGTATTTTTAGTAGAGATGGGGTTTCACCATGTTGACCAGGATAGTCTCGATCTCTCTACCTCGTGATCCACCCGCCTCGGCCTCCCAAAATGCTGGGATTACAGGCTTGAGCCACCGCGCCCGGCCAGAACCTGCCTTTCTAACAGGTTCTCAGGCAAGGCCCAGAAAGAAGCTAGAGAGCCGGGTCTGCCGTCTCGTCTTACTCCATCTTCCACACTCTTCCTTAGAAAGGAGGTTATGGAGGCTGGGCATGGTAGCTCATGCCTGTAATCCCAGTGTTTTGGAAAGCCAAGATGGGCGGATTGCTTGAGTCCAGGAGTTCAAGACCAGCCTGTACAACATGGCGAAACCCCATCTCTACTAAAAATATAAAAAATTAGCCAGGAGTGGTGGTGTGCTCCTGTGGTCTCAGCTACTTGGGAGGCTGAGGTGGGAGAATCACCTGAACCTGGGAAGTTGAGAGTGCCATGAGCCGACATCATACCAGTGCACTCCAGCCTGGGCAACTGGAATGAGTTCCTATCTCACCAAAAAAAAAGGAAAAAGAAATGAGGTAACGGGCCCACTGTTGTGGCTTTTGTCTGTCATCCCAGCCAGAGGTTCACTTGAGGCCCGAATTCAACACTAGCCTGAGCAACATGTAGAGGCCCTGTCTCTACAAAAAATAAAATAAATTAGCTAGTTATAGTGGAAAAAAAGAAAAGAGGTTATGTATAAGTGTCTACATGTTGCATCCATGCCACAGATAGGCTGTGTTTACCCCACGCAGTGTTTATCGATTCAAATAAATTAGCCGTCATTTCAAAATTGGATTTTTGGCCCCTCTAAGCAAAACCATCACCTGGTCTAGTGGTTGTGAGGCCACATGTCACAACAGCTGGAGCTGAAGAGTCCTGGGTCTCTGTAGCCTTTTCTTTTTGAGACAGGGTCTCACTCTATTGTCCAGACTGGAGTGCACTGGCACAATTACGGCTCACTGCAGACTCAGCCTCCCAGGCTTGAGTGATCCTCCCAGCTCAGCCTCCCAAATAGCTGGGACTAAAGGCACGTGCCACTGCATCCAGCTAATTTTTGTTATTTTTTGTAGAGATGCGGTCTTGTCAAGTTGCCCTTGGCAAGGGCAAGGCAAGTTGACTGTTTTTTTACTCCTGGGCTCAAGCAGTCCTCCCACCTTGGCCTCCCAAAATGCTGAGATTACAGGCATGAGCCACCACATCCAGCCTTCCATAGCCTTTTCACTTTGCTGCTGGTCTCACCCAACCTATTGCAGTGACTTCTGCTACCTACCTGGTGCCTGCAGGCCTGAGTGTGCAAACCAGGTCTTAGAAATAGGCAAACCAACCCAAGGGAACCTCATGGAGCCTTGAGCTATCCAGACTTTTGTATCTCATGGGTAACACTGCATGGGAGTTCCATTTCTGCACCTGCTATGGGATGTGAGAGCTGGCAGAAATGGTTTCAGCTTGCAAATGGGATGGAAACTCTACCATCAGGTCTCCTTTCTGATCGTGGTTGATTTGTGAGAGAGAGTACGGAGATGCTTGGGGTGTCAGGAACGCGCCACAGTGCAGAGGGTGTGGGTGAGCACCAAGGAGCCTGCCCCTTTGATAAAGCTTTCTCGGTCCACAGAGAATATTGACTCATGCCTACTCCAGAGTGGTCCTCAGAGTCCTGGAAGCAGCCGTGGCAGCCAAGAAGCGATTCAGTGTATACGTCACAGAGTCCCAGCCTGATTTGTCAGGGCAAGTACCTTTCTTTTCAGTTATGTGCCCAGCCATCATTTTACAGAGCAAACTGCAGATTAGAGTCCAACAGGAACAGACTAGAATGTGCCCCCAACTTGCCAGCAGCAGTCAGCATTGCCTTTCGTTCTGCCTTTTCCTGCCTCTGGAAGAAAAATCGCTGAATTTGCAGCAGGTGCCAGTACAGAATCTAGGGGTTTCACTTAAGTAGTTAAATCCGTGGAAGAGCAGAGATTGTATTGATGAAAAAAAGGACTCATGTCTCCATCTCTCTAGATAATAAAAGCAAAACTTCCTAAAGAACCCAAAATCTTCTTTCCTTAGTCCAAAGTCTTGGGATCTGTCCCTTAATGCATTAGGATTAATGTGAGTTTCAAGCAGACATCCACTGTCCACATTAAGTGACTCATCATACATCACTGTGAGACTGTCTTATACTTTCTCTAACATTCTCAAAATGTCATCTTCAGTAAGAAAATGGCCAAAGCCCTCTGCCACCTCAACGTCCCTGTCACTGTGGTGCTGGATGCTGCTGTTGGGTGAGTGCCCATTTTCCCCAGCCATTGTCAGCCTCCCCCACCCCACACTGGCTCACAGCAGGGTTTTCAGATTGAAGTTTGAGTCCCATTCATAAAACCACACCAGGTAGCATCCTGCTTCTTAATTAATAGCTGCCCTAAACCAGCAAGCTCATTAGGAGGTTATGATAGCATACACAGAAGACAGAGCTAGCTGTGGGATGTTGGGGACAGTGGGAATTATGTCTATAGCTTTATGGCTATAAGGGTGTTTTTTTGTTTGTTTTTTTGTGTGACAGTTTTGCTCTGTTGCCCAGGCAGGAGTGCAGTGGTGTGATCTTGGCTCACTGCAGCCTCTGCCTTCCAGGTTGAAGTGATTCTTCTGCCTCAGCCTCCCAAGTAGCTGGGATTACACGCCACCATGCCGGCTAATTTTTTTGTATTTTTAGCAGAGGTGGGGTTTCACCATGTTGGCCAGGCTGGTCTTGAACTCCTGACTTCAGGTGATCCGCCCACCTCAGCCTCCCAAAGTGTTGGGATTACAGGCGTGAGCCATCACGCCCGGCCAGTGTGAGTGCATTTTAAGAGCAAAGTACAAAGGTCAGTTAGGATCCACAGAGGATAATCGGGGCTCTCCATTTCTTTGAAGACCTGACTGTCCTCGGAGGCATGCTGGGATGCTTTGTTTCACCTAGGAGATGCAACTTCTGTCCCAAAGCCAAGGTCACGTGTTCCTGGGTTTATCAGTGTATTTCACAAGAGAAAACAAGAATAATGATCTCTTGGAATGAAAACAAGATAGAAGTTTAAGGAAATTAGGAATGTGTTCAAAAGTAAGCATTTCAAGGAATTCTACTAATTGCTCATTTTAAAAAGTAAATTGGCCTTCATCCTACCAGAAAGATTCTTAAGGCTGGGCACAGTGGCTCATACCTGAGGCAGGTGGATTGCCAGAGTCCAGGAGTTAGAGACCAGCCTGGGCAACACAGCGAAACCCCATCTCTACAAAAAAATTTCAAAATTAGCTGGGCATGGTGGTGAGGGCCTCTGGTTCCAGCTACCTGGGAGGCTGAAATGGGAGGATCACTTGAGCCCAGGAGGTAGAGGTTTGGGCTGAGATCATGCTGCTGCACTCTAGCCTGGGCAAAGAGTGAGACCCTATCTCAAAAAAAAAAAAAAAAAAAAAAGGAGAGATTTTTAAATTGCATAACACTTTTGCCCAATTTCAGATCACATCAGATTTTTAAAATTTTGTTTGGGGCTGGGCACAGTGGCTCACATCTGTAATCCCAGCACTTTGGGACACCCAGGTGGGTGGATCATGAGGTCAGGAGCTTGAGATCAGCCTGGCCAACATGGTGAAACCCCGTCTCTATTAAAAATACAAAAAAATTAGCTGGGCATGATGGCACACGCCTATAATCCCAGCTACTCAGGAGGCTGAGGCAAGAGAATTGCTTGAACCCAGGAGGCGGAGGTTGCAGTGAGCGGAGGTCATGCCATTGTACTCCAACCTGGGCAACAGAGCGAGACTCCGTGTTGAGGAAAGAAAATATGTTTGGCAGCCGGGCGCAGTGGCTCAAGCCTGTAATCCCAGCACTTTGGGAGGCCGAGGCGGGTGGATCACGAGGTCGAGAGATCGAGACCATCCTGGTCAACATGGTGAAACCCCGTCTCTACTAAAGGTGCAAAAAATTAGCTGGGCATGGTGGCGTGTGCCTGTAATCCCAGCTACTTAGGAGGCTGAGGCAGGAGAATTGCCTGAGCCCAGGAGGCGGAGGTTGCGGTGAGCCGAGATTGCGCCATTGCACTCCAGCCTGGGTAACAAGAGCGAAACTCTGTCTCAAAAAAAAAAAAAAAAAAAAAAGAAAATATGTTTGGCTTGTACTGAAGTAGAACAGAAAGTAGGGGGACACCACACTCGGACGGATGGCGGCTGTGTCAGGACATTCTTGCTTCAGTTACACACATGTATGTGTGTACGCGCCGGGTAGCAGTGTGAAGTCTGTGTCTCATTGTGGGGTCAAAAAATGTTCCTGGTAACAATGCCAGGGGTTGATCATCCCATGTTAAGTGCTCTTTAAGAAAACAGGTGCTGGGCACAGTGGCTCATGCCTGTAATCCCAGCACTTTGGGAGGCTGAGGCGGGTGGATCACGAGGTCAAGAGATCGAGACCAACCTGGTCAACATGGTGAAACCCCGACTCTACTAAAAATACAAAAATTAGCTGGGCATGGTGGCACACGCCTGTAGTCCCAGCTACTCGGGAGGCTGAGGCAGGAGAATTGCCTGAACCCAGGAGGCGGAGGTTGCAGTGAGCCGTGATCACACCATTGCACTCCAGCCTGGGTAACAAGAGCGAAACTCCGTCTCAAAAAAAAAAAAAAAAAAAAACAGGTGCCGGGCGTGGTGACTCATGCCTGTAATCCCAGCACTTTGGGAGGCCAAGGCGGGTGGATCACTTGAGGTCAGGAGTTTCAAACCAGCCTGTCCAACATGGTGAAACCCCGTCTTTAAAAAAAAAAAACCAACCAACCAACAAACAAAAAAAACAGGTAGTTATGGAGGAACTTACCTTGATAGAAATGGAATACTGACCTTTCCAGATGATGAGGCTACTAACTAGTGCCAAGAAAATAAAGCATGAAAAGCTTTTTTTCCCCCTTAGCTACATCATGGAGAAGGCAGATCTTGTCATAGTTGGTGCTGAAGGAGTCGTTGAAAACGGAGGAATTATTAACAAGGTAAGAGCATCAGTTCTCCCCAGCTCCCTACTCAAGGCTTGAAGGGGTCTTGCTGATCTAGGACCCACAGCAGTGTTGTTCCTGGTGGTTCATTCTAATCCTGTTTCGCTTCAGGAGTTCATCAGAGCACTGAGTTGTTGCCCAGTTCCCATAAGCCATTGCTGTGGTCAGTCCAATTTTGGTCAGATTTTTCTTTTTTTTAGATTGATCTACATAAATGAAGACAATGTGATTTTTAGTCAGGTGTGATGGCTCATACCTGTAATCCCAGCAATTTGAGAGGCCAGGGTGGGAAGATCACTTGAGGCCATGAGTTCAAGAGCAGCCTGGGCAACATAGTAAAATCCTGTCTCTACAAAAAATTGAAAGAATTAGCTGGGCATGGTAGTGCTTGCCTGTAGTTCCAGCTGCTCAGGAAGCCGAGGCAGGAGGATCACTTGAGTCCAGGAATTTGAGGTTGCAGTGTTAGGATCACACTACTGCACTCTAGCCTGGACGATGGTGAGACCCTGTCTCAGAAAAAAAAAGCTTTGTTTGTATTTACACAAAATGGGCTTGAATTGGAATTGGGATTTTGTCTGTTTTGTGTTTACATTTGTTATCCTTTATGTGTGTATATATTTATGTATGCACGTATGTATACACAGAAAGAATACACAAATGTTTTACATTAAAAAATACATATTCATATATAAATATATGTAAATATAATATATAACATATATATTTATTTTTATTATTATATATTTTTTCCAATGGAGTCTTGCACTGTTGCCCAGCCTGAAGTGCACTGGCACGACCTCTGCTCACTGCAACCTTCACCTCCAGGGTTCAAGTGATTTTCCTGCCTCAGCTCCCAAGTAGCTGGGATTACAGGTGTCTGCCACCATGCCCAGCTAATGTTTTGTATTTTTAGTAGGGATGGGATTTCACTATGTTGGCCAGGCTGGTCTTGAACTCCTAACCTCATGATCTGCCCACCTCAGCCTCCCAAAGTGCTGGGATTACAGGCGTGAGCCACCATGCCTGGCCAATATATATTAGAGACCAGTTCACGCTGTTGCCCAGGCTAGAGTGCAGTGTAGTGTAGTAGAGTGGTGATAGCTGACTGCAATCTTGAACTCCTAGCCTGAAGCAATCCTTGCACTTCCCGAAGTGCTAGGATTACAGGCGTGAGCCACCATGGCCAGCCTGTCATTTGTTTTCATCGTAATTGAGCACACTTGACCTCAATTTTTGATTACAATTTCTTTATCCATTGTTTAATTTAGATAGGTTTCATGAAAGCTTTTTTTAGTTAAAATATATATAACAAGGCATGGTGGCTCACGCCTGTAATCCCAGCACTTTGGGAGGCTGAGGCAGGTGGATCACCTGAGGTCAGAAGTTTGAGACCAGCCTGGCCAACAAGGTGAAACCCTGTCTCTACCAAAAAAAAAAAAAAAAAAAAAAAAAAGCCAGGCGCAGTGACTCACGCTTGTAATCACAGCACTTTGGGAGGCCAAGGCAGGCGGATCACAAAGTCAAGAGATTTGAGACCATCTTGGCCAGTATGGTGAAATCCCGTCTCTACTAAAAATACAAAAAAAATTAGCTGGACGTGGTGGCACTCACCTGTAGTCCCAACTAGTCTGGAGGCTGAGACAGGAGAATCGCTTGAACCCAGGAGGCAAAGGTTGCAGTGAGTGGAGATCGCGCCACTGCACTCCAGCCTGGCAACAGAGTGTGAGACTCTGTCTCAAAAAAAAACCCAATAATTAGCAGGCATGATGGTGAGCACCTGTAATCCCAACTACTTGGGAGGCTGAGGCAGGAGAATCACTTGAACTTGGGAGGCGGAGGTCTGCAGGCAGAGTCTTGAATCACATGGTAACTGCATATTTAACTTTTTGAGAAGGTAATGATCTTCCAGAGCAGCTGTACTACTTTACATTCCCACCAGCAAAGCACAAAGGTTCCAGTTTCTCTACATCCTTGTCAACACTTGTTCTTTTAATTTTTTGAGATGGAGTTTCACTCTTGTTGCCTAGGCTGGAGTGCAGTGGCACAATCTTGGCTCACTACAACTTCCACCTCCTGGGTTTAAGTGATTCTCCTGCCTCAGCCTCCTGAGTAGCTGGGACTACAGGCACGTGCCCCCATGCTCAGCTAATTTTTGGATTTGTAGTAGAGATGGGGTTTCACAGTGTTGGCCAGGCTGGTCTCAAACTCCTGACCTCAGCTGATCTACCCACCTTGGCCTCCCAAAGTTCTGGAATTACAGGTGTGAGCCACTGCACCCAGCCTGTTTTTTAAATTATAGTTATTCTAGAAGGTGGGAAGTGATCTCACTGTGTAACATTGCCCTAAGGAGCTAATGGTGTTGAGGATTTTGTCATGTGCCTAGCGACTATTTTAATATCCTTGGAGAAACATTTATTTTTTTTAAGGTCCTCTTTGATTCGACAGCCAGAATTACATATGTTGTGTATATTCGTAACTTTCTATCGCAGTTTTTAAATTGTTCATTTATTGTAACAGAGACAAGGTCTCACTGTGTTGGCCAGGCTGGTCCCAAACTCTTGGGCTCAAGTGATCCTCCCACCTCAACATCCCAAAATGCTGGGATAGAGGCGTGCGCCGCTCTCCCTGGCCCGCTTTTCTGTGGCTTCTATTTCAAAAGCACTCTAGAGCTCATCCGTTCCACTTTCTGCCTTCCCAGATTGGAACCAACCAGATGGCCGTGTGTGCCAAGGCACAGAACAAACCTTTCTATGTGGTTGCAGAAAGTTTCAAGTTTGTCCGGCTCTTTCCACTAAACCAGCAAGATGTCCCAGATAAGTTTAAGGCAAGAGTTTTCCGTATTTGAAGGGGTGCTAAAATCTAAACTGGAACCTTTGGAAAATTGCAGTCCTAAGAATTTCCAGTAATTTTTTCACTTCTACTGCTATTTTCCCCAACACTTGGAATACAAAGATAAATTGGTAGTTGGGCTTACACATTTGTCCCTAGAATTTCGGTCTTTCAGTCTCTTAAGTAGCATCATAGATGGGTAGAGAGGAAGCCAGGAAGCTGGTGGGTAATTCCCAGCTTTGGGCTCAGCTGAGCTCAGCTCTCATTGCCGCAAGTTTAAAACTGTGTGGCTTGGGCAAGTCCTTTCTATTTTTTTTTTTTTTTTTGAGACGGAGTTTCGCTCTTGTTACCCAGGCTGGAGTGCAATGGCACGATCTCGGCTCACCGCAACCTCCGCCTCCTGGGTTCAGGCAATTCTCTTGCCTCAGCCTCCTGAGTAGCTGGGATTACAGGCATGTGTCACCATGCCCAGCTAATTTTTTGTATTTTTAGTAGAGACGGGGTTTCACCATGTTGACCAGGATGGTCTCGATCTCTCGACCTCGTGATCCACCCGCCTCGGCCTCCCAAAGTGCTGGGATTACAGGCTTGAGCCACCGCGCCCGGCTAAGTCCTTTCTTTTTAAAAAAAATTTTTACTATTATTTTTTAAGGCATCCAAGGAAGAAAGGGGCAAGTCCTTTCATTGCGGCCTCTGAACCTGTTTCGTTTTCTGTAAAATGGCATCGTAATATCGGACAGGGTTATGAGGATGGTAAGGTAATCTTACCACAGTGCCTGGCACGCCGCAAGCTCTGTGTAGTGACTCTCCATCTTACCTTGAGAGGTCTAGAGAAGCTAATCCAGCATGAGAATGAGGGGACATGTGATTTACGTTTGTTACATCATAGCTCTCGACGAGCACATTGTCATGATTTGGCTCATGGGCACAACTCTGCCCTCCTCTCTCTTCAGAGAGCAGTGTCAGGAAGTGGCACACTGTTCACTCATGCCAGGGCCCCAGGAGTTCAGAGCCCTGAATATGCAGCGCCGACTAATGTGTACTTCTTATCTCCTCAGTATAAGGCAGATACTCTCAAGGTCGCACAGACTGGACAAGACCTTAAAGAGGAGCATCCGTGGGTCGACTACACCGCCCCTTCCTTAATCACCCTGCTGTTTACCGACCTGGGTGTGCTGACACCCTCAGCAGTCAGTGACGAGCTCATCAAGCTCTATCTGTAACCTGGGGGCCCTCTGCTGCCAAGGTGTGAGTAGCTGCTTGACACCCCAAGTGAGCAAGGCCAAAACTGAGATGTGTTTTAATGAAGATTTATGGCCTAAGGACTTAAAATCAATCATCCATCTTGGAGAACCTTTCTTACTCATTGCATTTCCATCTAAGAATGTGTCAGTTATTCCAAAACCCAACCTAAATTGTTCTTACGCTTTCTAGAAACTTTCATTTTCTGTTTCCAGAAATACAAGTTAGATTATTGGCTACTTACCTGATGAAAGATGAACCCAAGTCCACCTCTCTTCATCCTCCCCTGCACTCGACTGATCTGCCAAAAGCACTGACATGCAGGCCAAAAGGCAGCCACACCCCTCTGCAACAAACGACCAACGGCAGGCCAGGACATGTCACACGTGGTGCCTTGTGAGAGGCAAGAAACACCTGCTGAATCTGCATCTGGCTTCCCGTGGTGAGCACATTCCTCAACAGGATCAAGCCAAACGGCAAAAACTACCAAGAGAACACGAGGAAGTCCGAAGCCGCATTTAGCCGTGGTACTCCACGTGGCTCACCACTTAGGATAATGCTTTCTGGAAGATTTGTAAACTGCAACTCTGTGTATGGAAGAGATCTTTAAATGTTTGGGTCCTAAACAGCTTTTTAAAATTATACTTGGAAACAAACTCAGTATCTTTTCAAATACATTCTATGAAAGACTTTGATGTGGTGTTGCGTCAATACTGCAAGCTGACCCCAGGCCATGTGGGGGAAACACTGCCGCTACATTGACACACTCGAGACAGGCAATCAAAAGGATGCCGTTTATTCAACAGAAGGCACAAAAACTAATTCTCCTTCCTAGAACATGACTTAATTCCTCTGTTTTTCAGCTGTTCACCAATAAAACAGTACTGGGACTATTCTTAACACAGAAAAGCCACAGCACGTTAGCCACCTTCGCAGGGCATCAAAGGTAACCGAAGCCCAGGGCCAAGGACATTCAGGGAGGTCAGGTGCCTGAAGATACTAAGGAATGGTTTTGAAAACCAAAAGTCAAGTATATTTCAGTATCTTTATGTTTAAAAATGACTAAAAAATAGCCTCAGAAAAAGCTCATATATATATTAATGTACATATATCTATGTGACCCATCATGATAAATATTGACTTTTATTATTTATATTCAAATTTTACTTTTTCTTTTGTTAGACTACTTCAAGACTGGAATTGTTTTGTTGTGGTTTTTTTGAGACGGAGTTTCGCTCTTGTTACCCAGGCTGGAGTGCAATGGCGCGATCTCGGCTCACCGCAACCTCCGCCTCCTGGGTTCAGGCAATTCTCCTGCCTCAGCCTCCTGAGTAGCTGGGATTACAGCCACGCACCACCATGCCCAGCTAACTTTTTGTATTTTTAGTAGAGACGGGGTTTCACCACGTTGACCAGGATGGTCTCGATCTCTTGACCTCGTGATCCACCCGCCTCGGCCTCCCAAAGTGCTGGGATTACAGGCTTGAGCCACCGCACCCGGCTGTTTTGTTGTTTTTAATGAGAGGGTTTCACTGTGTTGCCCAGGCTGGTCTTGAACTCCTGGGCTCAAGTGATTTGCCTGCCAAAGTGCTGGGATTACAGGCAAGAGCCACCACATTTGGCCAAGACTGGACTGTTCTTAGTAAAATATTCACAATTGTGAAATCCGTCATTTTCCTCTAGTCTGAAAGGACAGCTTTCAGAGATGTGATTCTTCTCAGATGTCTCCTGAAGTTTTGATTTCCACTGAAAGCAACCTGGAGCCATCCACCAAGTTAGGGAATAGCTATGCCCTTGGCGTTTCAGCTGTGGCGCTGGAATCAGCTGTCATCTTCCAAATCCTGAGATCCCTAAATCTGCTGTCTTGATTGTTCTTTTGCCAGTTGTCAACAAGCTCTTCTCAAATTCTTCTTCAGTTATTTTGCCTTTTTTAAGTTTTTTCAAGAGTCTTGTGTCATTGAGAAGTTCTTCCATGTCCTCATCTTCAATATCAGAACCCTAAGTGCAGAAGAAACCAATACACTACTAAATTTTTCAGCAATAGTGTTCCAGTGAAACCAGCAGTTTTAACTTGGGAACTATAAGCTCAGATTTGCTTCTGCAAATACAGCAAATTCCCAATCCTAGTCACCAATGTAACAAAAATCTGAGAGCCACACACAATTCCTATTTAAAGATCTACCACAGTAATACTTGTTCAAGATTCTAAGTTGACATGTAAGTAAAAGTGTAAACTTTACCTCTTCCCTTTTCCTTTTCTCATTCATTTTTTTCTTCTTTTCTTTTTTGGCCTTCTGCTTCGACCAAGCTTTATTTTTTATGAATTTTCTCCTCTTATCATTTTCTGTTTTCTCTTTTCTTTGTTGCTTCTGGAGTTTCTGCCTCTGCTTTTCTCTAATTTTATCTTTAAATGGAATAGTGTCGGTATTAATGTCCACAGGCACAAAATCTGGAAATTGCTTTCCTCTCAATTCTGGCATCTTGGGCATCCTCAACAGAGCAAAACCTCGAGCAAGGCCGGCAAAATCAAGATCTAATTCAATCAGAAGATCAGAGTTAGCACACTCAACAGGATTAGAACGATCAATAAGGGTTTATAATTTTTTTCTAACCAAAGGGTTTAATGCATTCATTTTTTAAATGAAAATAATTACATTTTTACAAAGTTAAAAGGAATACTCAGTAGCCAGTTTATTCTGTGTCTACTCAAAACCTGGGAACACTTCCTTTTACAAGACAAAGCAATCTCATACTTGTAAGACCACCACAATTAAGATGAAGACACAGAAGAAGTCCAACTTACCCTTTAATCTGAAAATCAGGTTGCATTCATGCTTCGCATAAGCCTGGACATACGACACAAAAGCTTTCATGCCCTTTTCAAACACAGCTCTGTCGGCCAGGGCCATGGACTTGAGTTTTGGCAGAAGGTCCATTGTGTTTTTCTGGAGCTTCATCTCCTGCAGGGGGCACTATACACACACCACATTCTCACCTTCCCTGGCTGGCATCAGCCTCATCCCCAGGGATCCCCCGTCACAACCAATAAAACCAAAAGCAAAACAATTCCTTTTAATCTTAAATCAGTGGTCTGAATCCCAAATCCAACCCAAATACTTCACTTGCTCTGAAAAGTATGTTAAATTTTTTAAAGAAAATTTAGGCCTGGCACAGTGGCTCACACCTGTAACCCCAGCACTTTGGAAGGCCAAGGCAGGCGGATCACGGGCTCAAGAGATAGAGCCCATCCTGGCCAACATGGTAAAACCCATCTCTACTAAAAATACAAAAAATTAGCTGGGTGTGGTAGCGCGCACCTGTAGTCCCAGCTACTCGGGAGGCAGAGTTTGCAGTGAGCCCAGGTCACACCACTGTACTACAGCCTGGTGCCCGGCAACAGAGTGAGACTCTGTCTCAAAAAAAAAAATTAAAAAATCCGATTTCACATGACAATCCTAATCTGGTAGCAAAGTATGGCAACACAGGATCTCTGTTCACAAGAGGTAAGCCTTGCCTGGGCCCAGGAGACCCTGCTACCGCGCAGGAGGCTTGGTCACTCCATAACCAAGGTGCCTCCGCAGCCTTAAAGCCCACCAGGGCCCCGCACTGCCACCACCAGCCCAGCCCCAGTGAATTCACAATCTGTAATTTCAATTGCTGACCACGTGCCAGAGAACTTTTCTAGCTACCCCGTTACTAGGTATTCTATCTGAAAAGGGAGGACAGCTTACTTTTTGGTTAATTGCAAGGAAATTGATGTATGACTCTTCCATAGGCAGGAGGAACACCAGAGCGCTGCCCCTGTGGCCAATGCGGGCTGTGCGGCCGCAGCGATGCACGAAGGCGCTGTGAGAACACAGGGTGGAAATGGGGGCCCAGGTGATGACAGCTGAGCAGAGCTCTGGCTCCAGCCACGGGGCCGACGTCGCTAAAATGCTATGCGGAGCCTCTAGACTCCACAGCTCAGGGTGGACTTGGCCACTTACTAGTGTGAGAAACAGAAGAACTGGCAATTAAACCAGCATTGCAGACAGATACGATTCCATAAGAAACATTTAATGTGAACTCTAAGTAAAACTTAGATCTTTCTCTCTGATCACACAGGTAGGACATGGTCCCCAGGGGAAAATCTGGGAAACAATGAAAAATATAAAGAATAAAATAAAAATGACCAATAGTCTCAGAGGTAATCATTAACACTTGGGGGTTTATAGGCATTTTCCTATGCTTGGAAGCATACATCAGGAATATATGCTGACTTTGGAAAAAGTAATTGTAATTTTCACATGTGGTACTATGTTATTGCTGTTTTTCATTTAGACATTCTATTTTCTAGACATTCTAGTTTCTTCAAGAACTGGTAATATTTGAAAATATTTTTAATTGCTGCCAATACACAATACAGTATCACTATTTCACCATAAATGGGTTATTTTCATCCATTTGCCTATTTTTGCTACTTAATGCATTTTTGTTTTGAGACAGCGTCTCACGCTGTTGCCCAAGCTGGAGTGCAGTGGTACAATCCATTGCAACCTCTGCCTCCCACACTCAAGTGATTCTTGAGTAGTGATTCAAGTAGTCCCACTTCAGTTGCTGGGACTACAGGCACAGACGCCTGGTTAATCTTTATGTATTTTTTGTAGAGATGGGGTTTTGCCATGTTGCCCAGGCTGGTGAACTCCTTGGCTCAAGCGATTCACCACCTAGGCCTCCCAAAGCGCTGGAATTACAGGCTTGAGTCGCCATGCCCGGCCTCCAATAACGTGTTGTTTTCCCTCACTGTCTGAAATTTCTATGACCTTGCTCTACATGGAGCAGGGCAAGGCCTCAAACCATTTCAAAACTGTTCTAGCAAGCACTATAGGAATGCACAGGGTCCCTGCAGACCCAAGCACGCTGGAGGCTTGCTATAAGATAATGTTTCAATGAGCATCATTATCTGTTTATCTTCTTCAGGATTCCTACTTTATTAGGCTAAATTCCTCAACACAGAGCGGGTGACAGCCTCATACCATACCTTGCACTGCTGGGAGGGTCATACTGCAAAACCCAGTTGACTTCAGGAATATCGATTCCCCGGGCCATCACATCAGTGCACACTAATATCCCACTAGAAAATGAGAAAATGGCATTCTGAGTAAGGAGGTCACCATCTTCATCACCATCAAACAGCCCACTGATCTTGGTGACAGTGGCACGCAGGTTCCGGAGCTTCTCACAGAAGCGAATACTTTTTTTTTTTTTTTTTTTTTTTTTTTGAGACACAGTCTTGCTCCGTCGCCAGGTGCCAGGCTGAAGTGCAGCGGCGTGATCTTGGCTCACTGCAACCTCCGCCTCCTGGGTTCAAGCAATTGTCTTGCCTCAGCCTCCTGAGTAGCTGGGACTACAGGCATGCATCACCACGCCCAGCTAATTTTTATATTTTTAGTAGAGATGGGGTTTCACCATGCTGGCCAGGGTGGTCTCTATCTCTTGGCCTCATGATCCGCCTGCCTTGGCCTCCCAAAATGCTGGGAGGAAGCAAATACTTAAGGTAATATTTTGATTTTTTCTTCCTCCTACAAATCTCTAGGACTTCACAAATTCTAATATAAATTGGAGTGAGGTAAGAGACAGCAAAGGGATTTTTAAAATTAGAACATAACCATTTGAAAACCAAAACTATATGGGTCTGATCCTTTGTAGCC